TCATTGTCAAGGGAAAGACCCTCAAGACGCCACCTCTGAGTGGCACAATTCTGCCTGGCGTCACCCGTGAGTCCATCTTGGAGCTGGCCTCAGCGCGGGGATACAACGTGGAAGAGACGCCCGTTTCAGTGCACGAGGCCCTCGAGGTGTGTAAACGAGCTTGTACTTTGCTGCTGCCAGTGGCACATCGCATGGGTTCACTTGGTTTGGATGCTGCAGTCGCTGTGCAAAGGAGTGTACTTTGGCTTGTTTTGTCTTACTTGAGCTGCAAATAGTCAGATTACGTGCTGCTATCTCTGTCAATGACCTGTCGAGCGAGAACCCCAACAAGCCGTCTTTGAATGCGCTGTCGACCCTCATCTTGGGCAACGTTGCGAAGGGGTCTTCCCATTCCGAGCAAGGTACAGGATTCGTAGCACGGTGGAGATGCATGTATTATGCGATAGATTGATGACGCCTGCTCAGAACCGAACCATGTCGTAAGCACACAACTGTTCATGTTTGTATTGGAGCGATAGCGTGTCAAGCTTTGCAACACGCCTTCCTTCGACGGGTTGATGCCGTCAGCAATTTGCAACAACTGGTTTGCGTGGTGCAAGTAGTGGTGTGTCACCACCCCGCCCCAGCACGGGTGGACAGCTGCAGGCACCGAGTTGCCAAAGAATTTTCGGGATGACGGCAAACCACTGTACACATTCATTTGGGTAATGGCTTTCAGTCTCCGCATCAATCTGCTACAGAACGTGCAGATTGAATGGTCAAGCAGACCATCCAGCGGGCTGCCCACGCATGCATGCCCACGGCATCACCTGACAGATGCAAGCGGACCGCCTTTGGCCAGCTCTGGTAAATGCAGTATCTGGGGTTTTGCGCATACAAGGGTGCTGATTGTGCATCGTGTGCAGGCTGATGAGGTGTTCACTGCGGGCACAGCCGTTGTGGTGTCGCCTGTGGGCAGTCTGACGTACAAAGGAAAGAAGCACGTGTATGGGGACGGGAAAAACCCCACGCCTATCGCCTTGGAGATATACCAAGCACTTACAGACATTCAGACGGAGCGTGCGGAGGATCCCTTTGGCTGGGTGCACCCAGTTTGCTAGGAAATGGCGATGATCCAAACTCGGCTTCCTAGGCGTTGTGCTTGTGGGATCAACAGCAGTGTGAGGGCAGTGGTATATGTGTGGGAGTGTTTCTCGTCGTCGTGTGGCTTCTCAATAGCAATTTTGGGGATATTGTTCACATCCCAAAAGGGGATATGGCGCTGGAGGACGATGTGTGCAATGTATGCTCTGTGTTTGACCAATTCTAACTGAAAGGGTGGCACGCTGGCCAGCAGATTTGTGCAAGGTTTAGGGGCGGTTTCTGTCGGAGCGGGTGTGACCATTCAATTCAGTCCCCTTTCACGTGCACAACTCTCCAGCGATTCTGCAATCGCGATACCTGGCTGCTGCGTCGAACCTTGCAGCACGTTGACTTTCAGCTAGCCGCCTCCGCTTCGAGAGGCGACGGTTGGCTGCTGGGGCCAAGATGCTGCATTCCTGGTGCACGGTTGTGCTTGAGGGCTGTTGGCTGGACAGATTCGGCCAGCTGAAATAATGAAGAGCGGACTTCCGAGAGAATCTGCGCCTGGGATGGACGCGACTTGAGGCCATGAGGCAAGGGAAAGGGGCCATGGAAGGCGTTCATTGCCTATGCTGCATCATTGTTGCCTCACTGTGTAGGCCAGCTGACTGTAACAGACGTCAAACTTCCGACAGACAACAGGTTTTGTTCTGTGCGTGCCTTGACACAGTATACCCAATCAGACTGAAGCGCTCCAGTTAAGAAGCATTGCAATACGCGCACCATGCTCATGCACGCAAACGCAGCAATGGCCGCGCAGCCAGCAATCGCGTGCAATCAGGGATAAAATTGTAACCATTTAAAATCAATTCAATGAGCAACCCACATCCGTTGTTTCCAGGGCTTCCATTTCCCACCGCCCTTCCAGTCCTCCGTCTTGGCGATTTTCCTCCCAAATTCTATTCTACAAGCCCGCTGCCCTCAACCAGTGCGCAGCGGCCAGAACAGCGGTGCCCTCGCTGCTGCCAGGTACTGCAGCCCCCCCCCACCCCCCCACCCCACGCACAATGCAAAACTCGCTAAGCAGCCGACGCCTCACGAACGCTGGTCGTGATATCCTTACACTCCTGATGGTCGCAGTTCCCCCATGGTCGTCACCGTCGCATCAAAACAGTTCTTTCCATGCTGGCTACAACAGGCTTCATGCGTCCCAAGTCCAGAATTCTTCGACTGCGGTGCAACCTGGCAATCTCTCTGGCGCCACGCCCAGTACAGCGCCCTGCGCAGTCACACTGCGACAGAAACGAAATCTTGCCACTGTGTTGCGCCACTGTGCGAAAGGCACCATCCATGGGTCCCATGGGCCCGCGGTCCCGCCATCATCCACACACAAAGGGTGATCTTCCCTGGCCGGCCGATCCTCGACGGTGGCAGCATTGATGCCCGTCCTCCTACCTGCCCATCATCCCCGTCTCACACCTTATGCTCCTGTTGGGCATGCCCCCGCGCGTCTCCCCCACCTGCTGCTCCGTGGCGCCCAGCTCGCGGGCCACGCTGACCCACACCTCCGCGCTGCGCTCCGCATATGCCGCCTGCACGCACGCCAGGCTGCGCAGCATCTCTGTGAAGTCCGCCGCTTTCTGCGCCCGGAACCTCTCCATCTCCTGAAAGCGTGTTACCGAGATACATCGTTATTTTTGCTGTTTCTTCTCATTCATTTGTTATTTCTTACTGACCGCCTCAAATTGAAAGCAATCCAATCCAAATCAACGATATTGAGGAAATCACCCCAGGCGCTAGGAGAGAAGGGAGTTCAGGAAAGTGCCAGCTCCCTGCCACCTTCCCAGAAGCAGATACAAGGAAGAGGACACAAGGGTGTTCCAGAAGAAGAACCAAGAACATCAATGAAATGAGGAAGCCATCAGAGGCTTGTTCAAACCAAAGCTTGAAAGCTCGTGGAATGCAGCGTAATCGACAAACCTATTGCTAACCTGAAAGTTCACTGCCTTGATCTTCTCGTACTCTGCCTTGGCTGCCATGGCGCTGTTCTCCAGTCCCGCGATCTCAGCCTTGAACATCTCCAAGCGCCGTATCTTGGCACGTTCGCCAGCCAGCGGCTTGTCACTGGTCTCCATCTCCTTCACAGCCTTCTCCTTGGCGACCTTCTGCGACTGCAGCGTCTGCAAAGTTAGCATCGCCTGCTCCCGCGAAGTGAGGGCCCTATGGACGGACTGCAGCAGCCACATGCGATGCAGTTAGCAAACCCAACGTGAGATTCAGGAAATGGCCGCAGCATCGTGCGTGCCCTTGCAGATCCAGCAGGCACCAGTATCTTCTGAAGAAAATAGAAGCACAAAATCGGAATAAAACACACACACACAGTTACATAAGCTTATCAGAGGCAACCTCCTTCGTCAGACTTCCCCATGAGTTCTGGCTTGCTGGAACATGCAGAGGATACAGGTTTCCTTAAAATTGCAAACTGTTGATGGCCCACCCCATCAAACTGCTCAACCCACAGAATACAGATAATTCACAGCCACAGCTCTCTCGGGTCTGTTCTATCCCCAGCAATCTTCATGTTGCAAACGTTCATCCAAATTGGTCAGCGTTATGCTGCACAGTGCCTTGGTCACAACTGTGGACACTGTCCAGGCCTTTGGCCAGCCGCTCAATGAATGGAATAGGAGATGACTGAATGTTTGCAAGCACAATGGCAGAATACACAGAAACTGCAAATGTTGTGCACCAGGAAGCCAAACCATTAGCTAGGAATATTCAGAGAGAGAGGCACAGCCACTTCTGCGCACCTGAGTCTTCACTATGAACAGCAGCTTTCGAATGCAACTCGCAGAATGTCAGGATTTGTTTTAGGATTTTGCAAGTGATGGGCCTCAGATCCCCATTTTGGTTTGATTGTACATGCACTGCTGCAGGTTCCTCCCCATTGGAAGAACAGTCGATGAGAGTTACTATCCCGTGTGTTTCATCGTGTTTCTGGCTGGTGTGGCAGTGCAGAAGCCATGCGTCCATACTACATAGTATGTGGTTTGGCATCCTGCAGAATTCTGTCCAACTCAGAATTGCAACCAAGAAAGAGGCTATTGCGCTCGTCAGCACCGTGTGAGAACGCACACATCAGCTGATCTGATCCAATACATGCCAATTTCATGACCTTTTTAACGCGTTGCGGTGCGGCCTTCACACACTGCCCAGAATCTTTTTGTTGCATCACCTGATCTAACATGAGAGTTTTCAGCGGAGGGTGCTACCCCAGAACCTTGCACACCAAGGCTGCCGAATGCAACAAAACCAACAGCAGGTGGATGCACACAAGCCAGGCCAGTGCAACGTCACAAAGCAGGAGCTTACCGGCATGAAGTACATGTAGTCGTGGAGCTCCCCAAGGTCCTGAGCCATCTTGTTGGTCACCTTGCGAGCAAGCCGTGCAAGCCTAACAAGAGCTATCCCGCACTGCTTAGTGTCGCCGCTCAGTGCCCGTGCACAGGAAACTGTGTCAGTGAACCTTGCCCGCTCGCTGCCTTCGATCTCTTCGTACTTGGACAGCTTGATGAATGACAGGCCAAGGTCGCCATACACAGCACCCATCCGCTCGAATTTCTTGACCAGTCTTTCTGCCTGCCAAACATTACCAGAAATGGTCACCATAAGACAGCAAGAATTTTTCCCTTGTCATCTGCATCATTCAAAACACCCAGGAATGTCTGTGTATTCAGCCAAGCACATGATGGCACACAAGGTTGTCCACATCATAAGCAACTATAAACAGCACACCCAACACAAATACTCACAAAAATGATGTGGGCAGTTGCGCATGAAGTGCACATACCACAAAATAAGTCAACAAAATGCCTTTATCCATAATACATGGGTCCCTGTGCCCCACTGTGCCAAAATCACAAAAGCCAAAATATGACTGCATTGGCAAGCCAGTATGGTGCACTTATCTCACTCAACAATGGACAATGTGAAAACAACTCAGATGGGCTCCCCTGCTGCCCCATTTGGCGCCAGGTCTCGCTAGCGGGCCCGCCGCCAACTACAGTGCTAATCAGATCCAGCCAATGCACCGAAAAGTGAGCTCAGTGCAAACCCACCACTCGCGACGAGTCTGACAGCTGGTCCCACATCATCTCCATCAACTTCGTCTGGCACCGCAGCTCCTTCTCATCATCAGGCATATCCACCAATGTGTACAGCTCGTTCTTGAACCCCTGCATCCCCTCCCTCATCATACGCATTATGTCTGCAGACTTCTTGGCCGGCTGCATGACTTCTGTGGGCTGAGGAACACCCTCCTTGCCAAACAGCTGTTTAGGCAGACGGGCAGCACCCTCCAGGAAACTCTGCTGGGGCGGCTGTACCATTAGCCAGTGGATGTTGGTAGCCAGATCAGCGTCAGTCTCCAAGAACAGGCGCATCTCCTGCTCACAAATCGGCAGCAGCCCTCTCAGAACCTCTCATCTTGAAATTGGATTTGGGGATGGCACCTATGGATATCGCATTTTCATGACAGTATATGCAGTGTCTTTATTCGTCACCAAAAAAGAAATCTAGCAGATGCGCAGCAGTTTTGCAATTTCCCTTAATAACAATCGACAACACTCGACCCATCAGCAGTAATTGGCAAAAGCAGTCAAACCTCTTGCAGCATTCCACTATCCCATCGCAAGTTGTGCAAATAGCACACCACGTTCCATTCATCCTCAAAGTGGAAGTATCATTTAATGCTGAAGGGAGGTGCAGCGTAGCCACCATCCTGCCAACACAATCCATCCAACAGGCCAATTTACCTCACTTGGTCCGATCTCAGGATGGGAAACTAATCTGGAGAGGTACTTCTCTAAAGCAGCTCTCCGCTCTTCTATGAAGCTGTCCTTCATTCGTTGGCCCTCAACGGCATTCTTCTCTGGCCGTGGGGGAATAAAGTAACCTCTGAATTTTGCTTTCAACAACTGATCAAGGGCCACAAACTCTCGGAAGCGCCGCAGCACAACTGGCTCAGGATTTTGATAGCTGCTCAGTGTGCTTTTAGTAACTACTTTGTACTGCATGTAGCCACCTGCAACCATCGCCAAAAAGCCCATGTTGCAGCATACACAAAAGTCTGCAAATCCAGGGAGTGTCAAATGGACACCAAAGCACGCACGCAATGAGGCCAGCAGGATAACATATCGACAAGCCTTTGTGCAGACTACCTCGACGCAATGGAAGCAATCCTGTGAACAATGCTGAGAAGCAGCCTCACAGTGCCCTGACAACAGTGCGTATCAGATGCGTTTTGTCATGCTCCAGCTATTCCGAAATTGAACACAAGGCTCAACTAAATTTGTGTACAATAAGAGCAAGCAGCAGGCACTTTACAGGTGCGCAGCATCAACTGTTGCTTATCCATTGGTCCTTGTCAACAAACATTCATCCAAAAGCCAAAACAATGCTGGGCACTAATTCTCAACGTCAATTCACTGTGTCCATTCCTGACGTCCCACATGAGCTTGTTCATGGACTGAAGTCCACAGTGCCAAGCCTATTACTGGCAGCAAACTTGCCCACAAATCAATAGTTCTAGTGGCGTGGCACCTACTGTGTGCATTCACTTCCACTGTTACTGAAAGCTGTGCCAGTCAGGACCCGTCATTCACTTCCACCCTGGCAACTGGATGGATACCCATCCATGGAATCTCGCAGCTCAAAACACCACCACTGGACTGCACTCAACCACACCCACAGCAGCAGAGAGGTTTCTCTTGCCACATGAAGGGCAACCCTAGGTAGGCCATGACCTGTGTGTCAAAACGATGCTGCACAGCAGTCCTTGGCCCTTCATGACCCCAACAGGCAAGGTGCCCAATCAGACAAAGGACCTGTGCTTGAGCGGGCAACGAGCACACCTTCGCTTGATGGGTGCAATGGCCTTGCCATTTCAGGGCCATTTCCAAAGTGTGATCCAGGGACCAAGTTAAGGGGGCCACTCACTCTGCATCCCAAACACCCCGGACTGCTCCCTCCTCTGCGGGTCCCTCACTGCCACCGTGAGCGCCGGCTTGTTCGCCACCACGGCGCCAG